CTGTTCGGAAACCATGGACAAACTGCTCTATTGTTTGAAATAAGCGTAATTAGATTTTGGTGAGACTTTAACTCCCCCTCTCTTTAAGAGAATTTTAATAAAGCTGCGATAAGAGCATATTTACTCTTAGTTGCCCCATTGTTACCTAGTAGGTTCTTCCGAGCGCACAAGCTTACCGCAAGGCTGACTGTAGACGTGCACAAAGGAGTCTCTCGTCAAACTTGTCCTCAATGACCACGCTCCAGCGATACCTTCTATGAAAAGCTTCCACGTTGGGCACCAGATGAAGGGTGGCTGCCTCACACTTGTGGGTGTTTATGTAGGTAATACTGTTCCTCTAGAGCAGGAGCCATCAACTCCTGCTGGCCAGCCGCCTGTTTATTTGCTGTGTGAAGGCTAAGAATGTGTTTTACAGTTTCACATTTTTTAGTTACATTTTAAATAGTTATATAAATACCTACATAATAGCCTTTGACCCTCAAAGCCTAAAATGTTTACTATGTGGCCCTTTTAAGAAAGATATATGCTAATCTGTGCTTTAAAGTCATTGTCATTTGAATGCATTAGTTCTGCCACTCACCAGTCCTGTATCCCACAAACAAGGCACTTAAATATTCTGGGCCTCATTTTCTCATGTATAAAAGAGGAGGTGCTTGCCTATCACTTTGGAAGAACTACATAAGGATCCCCAAATACGAGAGGTAAAACTGAAACACTGAAGGGGTGGCCTGCCCCTCCACACCTGTGGGTGTTTCTCGTAAGGTGGAACGAGAGACTTGAGAAAAGAAATAAGACACAGAGACAAAGTATAGAGAAAGAAAAGCGGAGGCCCAGGGGACCGGCGCTCAGCTTACAGAGGACCCACGCCAGCACCGGTCTCTGAGTTCCTTTAGTATTTATAGATAATTCTCTTTACCATCTTAAAGATAAGGGAGTGGCAGGACAATAGGATCGTTTTTAGGGAGGAAATCAGCAGTAAGACATAAGAACAAGGATCTCTGTGACATGAATAAGTTTAAAGGAAAATCCTGTGCCTTGAGATAAACCTTTTAGCGGCATTGTTTCATCCTATCACATGGAGATAAACCTTGGACAATACCTAGCTTTTCTAGGAACAAAGACACACCCTGCACGCCCAAAATCCATTAAACCTTGAGTTACCACAGCACATGTCTCTTGCAAGGACAAGGTTGGGAGTAGGGTCACAGATTAACAGCATCTCAAATACAGAACAAAATGGAGTCTCTTATGTCTACTTCTTTCTATATAGACACAGTAACAGGCTGATCTGTCTTCCTTATCCCCACGAAACACAAGTCATATTTGCTTTGCTTTATAGAGATTGACCATTGGCCTTATTTGGTTACTTTGTTCAAAGCAAGTACCTTTGCTTGTCAACCTCCTGTGCTTAGTTGTGTAGAGTTGTTTGAGTAAAGAAACCCTAAGAGACCCATAAACTTGCAAACAGATCAACCAATTGGGAAACCCTGGAATTAATGGAAACAGTTACAATTAGAACATGGCTGGTATGTGGTAAAAGGCCACCCTTGAGTAAAGATTAGCTATGTGTTAAGTACAAACACCAATGTTCAGTGTCTTGTTGGAGATGACTTTTTTTCTCTTTGGCTTTTAAGAAGTAACTTCATTGATTTGAACTAAGTTTTTGATTCATTTGGCAAGAAAATAGAAAGCTTTTGGGGGAGTAAAATATTTAATATGTTACTGGTGTCCCAAATACCTTTTTTTTTTTTTTTTTTTTTTTTTAAGAGACAGAGTCTTCCTGTATTGCCCAGGCTAGAGGCTAGAGTACAATGATGCGATCTTTGCTCACCGCAACCTCCACCCACCAGGTTCAAGCGGTTCTTTTGCTTCAGCCTCCCACAATAGCTGGGATTATAAGTGCCCGCCACCATGGCCGACTAATTTTTGTATACTTAATAGAGATGGGGTTTTACCATGTTGGCCAGGCTGGTCTTGAACTTCTGACCTCAAGTGATACGCCCACCTTGGCCTTCCAAAGTGCTGTGATTACAGGTGTGAGCCACCATGCCAGGCCTTTTTAAAATTTTTTTTATTTTTATTGTTTGAGACCAGGTCTGGCTTTGTTGCCCAGGCTGAAGTACAGTGGCACGATCTTGGCTCACTACAACCTCTACCTCCTAGGCTCAAGCAATCCTCTCACCTCAGCCTCCCAAATATCTGGAACTGCAGATGCATGCCACCACGCCTAGCTAATTCTTTACATTTTTTGTAGAGATGGGGTTTCACCATGTTGTCCACGTTGGTCTTGAACTCCTGGGCTCAAGCAGTCCGCCCACCTTGGCTTTCCAAAGTGCTGGGATTACAAGTGTGAGCCACTGCATCTGGCCCCCAAGTGTCTTAAAGCCTTATAGATCCCATTGTCACTATGTTACCCCTAGTGCGTATGCCAAAGAGGATTCCCAGGGAAGCTTGTTTTTTGATAGCTGAGAACTAATGTGAGAATCCTTCCAAGTGGCCAAGTAGATACCATGTTCTTAGAATGCACAAAGCAAAGAACTGGCTAGAAGCAGTGGTTTTGCAGCTCTTTCCAAAGCCCATGGACTGACTTCACAGTCTTGTGGATTATTGACTATAGGTTCAGGGGAGTTAATCTGAAGTTGAATATGTGGTCATAGGAAATAATGTCTGCAAAAGTATTGTGTTTTCAGCTACCGGCCCGTCATCATTTTTCCACTGACAAATAGCGGTAAGGGCACCTTGGCTATTGCTTGGTTTTATGTTCAGAATGGGGTTTTGAGTTACTACATTTTGGCTACCTGCTTGGAAGAATCCTTATTACACTCAAAATTAGATCTAATAACTGAGCCATAGCAATGCTGTTGCAGATACCTTTAGCATTTATTCTCCTGTGCCTCATAGTTAATAATTTCCACATTAGTAATTTGGTCTAATTATAGTTCACTTTCAGTTCTGCAGCTTTTTACTGATTTACTAGGCAGAGACATGAGGTTGATCCTTATTAAACTGAACAGATTATTTTGAGTGTACAGTATTTTCCAATTATTATAATTTTTCAGCCACATTGAATACAGTTAGAAGTTTAACTGCTATGCCTATAGTCTAAATATGGTAAGTTCACAAAGAGATGATGTGAACGTCAAGAAGATACCTCACATTATACTTTTAGTGGGGTTTTTTTGGACTTCCTAAAAATATTTTTGGTCCCCCTACACTTTTGACAGCTGTTTATAGATAATGTTTGCAGTTTCTGTTTGAGAGAGATAATTATGACACTTAGCATTGGAAAACTAAGAAGAACGTAAGCAGGTCAGCTATCAGAAGTCTTCAGACTGGAGAGATTCCTGGAGGGGGAGTGGCCCTTTAATCCATCAGCTGAAGCCATCTGGTAGGACACTCATTGCAGAAATGGTTGTGAAATGTTCTAACTCAGCAACATCACTGAATGTCACAGAATTGACAGACACAGAGCTAAAGGGCCTCTAGCCACCCCCACAACTCCTCTGTACCTTTGTGTCCCTAACACATGACTTGGAACAAATACAGTCTAGGTACAAATATGGCTACCTGAAGTTTATGATCCCTACTCATGGAGCTGCATGAGGACATCACATTTTTTAAAAAGCTGCTTTGGGCACCCCCATTCCTGAGAAGTGTTGTAGCTTGGTTTCCCTTTGCTGTATAACGTTTGTAAGACTAACATTTAATAACCATACACAGTTGGGGCATTTTCTATTTTGAGAAATTTATTTGTAGCTTCCTCTTATTTACACTTGGGGACTATTTTTAAGTATTTTTGTTTCTCCATTGCAAGTGAAATCCTTGTTGCTAATCTTTTGCCATATACAGAATTGTTCACTTGTTTTCAAGCAGGTAGTTCAATTATCTGTAATTCTTGAATTCTTTTCAGCTAGCACGATGCTAGGTGTCCCTCACTGCTTATTAATTGTAGGAGATAGATGCATCAGTGTGCAAAGTGGGGGGTGGTCACTAGCACCTAACTCAAAGTGTGATTATAGCTATCTTTCCACTTTTTTTTTTTTTTTTTTGAGACAGGGTCTCACTCTGTCACCCAGGATGGAGTGCAGTGGCATAATCTCAGCTTACTGCAGCCTCGACCTCCTGGGCTCAAGCGATCCTCCTACCTCAGCCTCCCAAATAGCACATGCCACTCCACTGAGCTAATTTTTCTATTTTTTGCAGAGACAGTGTTTTGCCATGTTGCCTAGGTTATTCTCAATTCCTGAGCTCAAGCCTGCCTCAGCCTCCCAAAGGGCTGAGATTACAGGTGTGAGCCACCATGCCTGGCCATCACTAATTTTCAAGGTTAATATTTGGAGGATCCATCCAGAGTCCAAAGGTTGTTAATACTCTTTCCAAATAGGGTGCCACCTTGTTTACACTACAGTCTTAAATCCATTGACACTGCTAGTGGAGTTCTAAATCATATTACTAGCAGGAAATGACTGTTTTAGTTGCAGCTCCAGTAATAAACTGCCATAGGAACAAGTTGGAAAGTGGGGGGGGGGGGAAATGTGAACATGAAAATGTCAAGTCGTATGTATTACACAAGTGGTATTACTTTAAAAACTTTATCTCCTTTTTGAGATGGAATATTGATTTATTTAAAAAATGGTCTCTCCCCATTTCACAGTACTTTTTTTTTTTTTTTTGACGGAGTCTCACTTCTCTCACCAGGCTGGAGTGCAGTGGTATGATCTCAGCTCACTGCAACCTCAGCTTCCAAGTAACTGGGACTATAAGCACACATCACCACACCCAGCCAATTTTTTTGAATTTTTAATAGGGTTTCAGTATGTTGGCCAGGCTGGTTGAACTCCTGACTTCAAGCGATCCACCCGCCTCGGCCTCCTGAAGTGCTGGGATTACCTGAGCCACGGTGCCCAGCCCATTTCACAGTACTTTTTATTTAACCCTATCATGCCAGGGCACTATGCAATATATGGCTGTTTCATTTTCCTGTTGTCTCTTTTTCCCAGGTGGTCTTCGAGGGATAGCACGAGGTGGTCTGACAGGACTAACACTTACCAGCCTCTATGCACTGTATAATAACTGGGAGCACATGAAAGGCTCCTTGCTCCAACAGTCACTCTGAAGATTTTGCCAACTCATGAATGGAGGACACTTAGTATCTAGATCATTTTATAAGACAGTCTGGAGTTATCCTCCCTCTCCTACCTACAATTAGTTTGAAAAATTGGAGATTTTGATTTGCTGTGATGAAAATCCTGGATGGTTGACCAAGACTGGCACTTGTTCCAGCCATTAGTGAGTTGAAGCCAAAGGCCTTTGGTGACTGAGAACCATGGTTCTCTTCTCTGGAGAAGATCTTGCACATCTCTCTTCTCCTCCCCCATGAACTAGAAAACCACTTACTCCCAGAATTCAGGTCGTGCTTGTCAGTACTATATCACCGTCTGTTCATTTAATGATCCAAAACTGTAATGTTGCACTGTATTCCAAATAAAGGGTAAAAACAGAACTAAAGTTGTAACTCTAACACAGAAACATAGTGGTTGTCTCAATTTAAAAGTATCTACCGGCCGGGCGCGGTGGCTCAAGCCTGTAATCCCAGCACTTTGGGAGGCTGAGATGGGCGGATCACAAGGTCAGGAGATCGAGACCATCCTGGCTAACACGGTGAAACCCCGTCTCTACTAAAAAGTACAAAAAACTAGCCGGGTGAGGTGGTGGGCGCCTGTAGTCCCAGCTACTCCGGAGGCTGAGGCAGGAGAATGGCTTAAACCCGGGAGGCAGAGCTTGCAGTGAGCTGAGATCCGGCCACTGCACTCCAGCCTGGGCGACAGAGCCAGACTCCGTCTCAAAAAAAAAAAAAAAAAAGTATCTACCTTGGTATAAAGTGAAAGGAACTCTCAGCATTTTCTGTCCCAATTGAGGCAAAACAACATCTTCATGTTTGTGTTGAAATGAGCTACTGGTGGCTGGGTGCAGTGGCTCACGCCTGTAATCCCAATACTTTGGGAGGCCAAGGCAGGAGGATCACCTGAGATCAGGAGTTTGAAGATCAGCCTGGCCAACATGGCAAAACCTTGTCTCTACTAATAAAATACAATAATCAGCCGGGTGTGGTGGGCGTGCGCCTGTAACCCCAGCTACTCGGGAGGTTGAGGCTGGAGAATCGCTTGAACCCAGGAGGCGGAGGTTGCAGTGAGCCCAGATGATGCCACTGCACTCCAGCGCAGGCAACAGAGTGAGACTCCATTTCAAAAAAAGAAATAAGCTACTGGTGGCATTCACCAATAGAGCTGATGCTAAACCACCTCAAGGTATTTCAGGTTAACCATTAGACTAGCATACTAGAACAATCTTTCCAACGATTCTGCTTCATTCCATACATATTAACTCCTCACTAGGAATAAATCAGAGCTAGGTTTTGGTTTTTTTTTTTTCCGAGACAGGGTCTCACTCTGTTGCCCAGGCCGGAGTGCAGTGGCGCGATCCCAGCTCACTGCAACCTCCGCCTCCTGGGTTCAAGTAATTCTCCTGCCTCAGCCTCCCAAGTAGCTGGAATTACAGGCACTTGTCACCGTGCCCGGCTAATTTTTGTATTTTCAGTAGAGGCGGGGTTTCACCATGTTTGTCAGGGTGGTCTCAAACTCCTGACCTCAGGTGATCCACCCACCTCGGCCTCCCAGAGTGCTGGGATTACAGGCGTGAGCCACCGTGCCCGACCAAGAGCTAGATGTTTTTCAGGGAAGCCTTGGGAAAACTAAAGGATATAAGGCCAAGCTGTTTCAGTTTGTTTTCTCATCCACAGTATGAAGTTAATCATGTATAACTGCAGTACAGGTTATACACATAAATATTACTGTATTAAATACCTGGTGGCTATATGATTGGAGAAAGTAAACTAGGGCCTTTTTGGATGCATCTATTAAGAGGAATCCAGTAGAAAGGCACTGAGTCTTAGCTGAAGTCCCGTAGGTTTTTTTTTAATAGATATGAATAGTTTTCATAAAAGACTGAAAATGGAGGTTAATATACCTATTGTTTTCTAATTTTTCATAAAATACACTGGTTATTTTTATGCTCAAGCTGTTTCTCAGCTGGATTCCTAACCAAAAGTTATCACATTATATGACACCACACTTTGTGACAAATAGTTTTACAAATAACACGCAACAACTATGGCTGTTATGCTTTTAATGGAGGCAGATACAAAATTCATCAATGCAAAAGAATGTTTCACATACTCATTAACATAGTGATTAATGTAAATTATATTCTGACTTGTAAAATACAGTGTGTTTGGCCTCAAAAAAGAAACTACAGAGCTGCAACTCAAGATAACTGGAAAGGCTCCTTACATTGTTTTTGCCCACCACCTTTATTATAATACTCCTAAATGATATCTGGAGAGGGAATTAAAAAATAATACAAAGCTCTTTTCAGCTGTGGTTCAAAGAACTCTAGTGAAGCTGTATGGCAATGACATTGTGGGACCATGAAGTTTCCCCAGAAGTATTTCCAATAAGAGGCAGTTAAGAAGCTTAATGGTTTCAAAGTATGGAAAGCAGCAAAGATATCTTAGAGAAAACATAAACCCACCTCTCTCCTACAGAGACATTTTAAAGCATGGACGTAACTTTAAGGAGACTGAGAAAACATCAGTAGTTTTCACAAAGCTTCAATGATCACCCCGAGGCACAAGTGATGAAAATGGCCTGTTCACTAAAACATCACTTTTGGAGGTACAGGTATGCTGTGCTTGCAGTGAGAGGATGACTTTATCACTAGTTAAAAGCACCAGGTGTCAAGCTCAGCTTCCATTTACACAGGATGCACCAATAATCCCTATGATAGTGAATGGTTCAAGTACTATACTACATTTCCAACATGACTTTTGCCTATTTGCTTAGTCGGTACTGGGGTTCTTTTAAGCCCCGTAGGTCTGTAGAATATTTTAAAAGGCTAGAACTACCTCAAAAATAGTCTTGAAATATTACTGAGTCCTTCTAAAAGAGTTCACTGGATATTTTAATAACATTTACAGAAAGACAAAATTTGCAGTAGCTGAGTTTAAGAATAATGTAGAACTACCATGTGGGCTAAAATGTCAAAAATTGCCAAGATTATTAATACGTATTTTGGTAATCACTACTGACCAGGTTAATTTTTTGTGCAAAATACTTTATATATTAATAGAACAGGAAAATCATTATTTCAGACCACTAACAGGAGAAAACCCACAGCAAAAGAAGCATCTGTAGGGCAATTAAACATTAGGGAAGTTTACTAGCTTTAGAATACATCAATACACTTCGATTACGGAAATAATCATTTTTAAACAAGAGTGTTTTAATGTACTTTTAGTAATGACCCAATCTAAGGAGCCCTGGAGGTTTGTGAAAAAGACGTATCCACAAAGATGCTGCTTTTCTAGTGTGGGGTGAATTAATACTTCTGTAAGAAGGAGGGAACTGAATCACCTCAGCATGAATAAACAGCATTTTTCTTTTAAACAGTAACTCATAATCTGATGACTCACTTTGCTTTACTAGTTCAAAATTAGGCAGGAGAAGAACTAAGCTAACTGGTCAGACCCAGAAACACAAAGATTTGGCAAGCCGCAGTCATTCAGCTCATGATGTGTGATAATCGGCAGAAAGGCTGCTCAACTCTTGTCCATTCCTTCACATCTGTAAAGAAACGCCCACAGATAAGTTACTTCACTGAAGAATAAAAGCAAATTTTCCCTGCCTTAAAGCTCTGACTCATTTCCCAATATAGGTATACCTTGTTATATTGTATTTTTTTACAAATTGAGCATTTGTGTCATCAACTGTGCCCATTAAAGATGGTAAACTTTTCATCGATAAATGTATGTCCTGAATGCCCACCAAACAGCCTTTCCGCATTTCTCTGCCCTCTCCTCAGGCCTCCCTGGTTCCCTGAGACAAACAAGATTGAAATTAGGCCAATTATTAACCCTACAATTGCATCTAAGTGTTCAACTAAAAGGAAGAGTCCCCATCTCTCACTCTATTTAAATCAAAAGCCAGAAATGATTAAACTTAGCGAGAAAGTCATGTTGAAGGCCAAGAGAGGCTGAAAGCTAGGCAGGCCTTTTGGACCAGCCAAGCTGTGAACACAAAATCAAAGTGCTTTTTGTTGTTTTTTAGCTTCTCATTCTCTGGCTGAAAAGTTCTTGAAAAAAACGAAGTGCTACTCCAGTGAACAGATGAATGATTTAAAAAGCAAACAGCCTTATTTCTGATATGGAGAAAGTTTTAGTGGTCTCGATAGATCAAACTAGCCACAACATTCCCTTAGGCCAAAGCCTAACCCCAGAGTAAGGCCCTAATTCTCTTCAATTTTATGAAGGCTGAGAGAGGTGAGAAACCAGAAGTCATGTTTGAAGCTAGCAGTGGTTGGTTCATGAGGTTTAAGGAAAGAAGCCATCTCCATAGCAAAAATGCAGCGTGAAGTGGCATGTTAACCAGAATAGCCAAGATCATAAATGAAAGTAGCTACAATATTTTCAGTGTAGACAAAAACAACTTCCTATTGCAAGAAGCAGTCATCTAGAACTTGTAGCTAGAGAGATAAGTCAATGCCTGGCTTCAAAGGACAGACTGATTCTCTTGTTAGGGACCAACACAGTCAGTGACTTTTTTTTTTTTTGGAGACAGGGTGTCACTCTGTCAACCAGGCAAGACTGCAGCAGAGCTATCATAACACATTGCAGTCTTGACCTCCCAGATGCAAGATTCTCTCACCTCAGCCTCCTGAGTAGCTGGGACTATAGGCACACTCCACCATACCCAGCTAATTTGTTAATTTTTGTACAGAGGGTCTCTGTATGTTGCCCAGGCTGGTCTTGAACTCCTGGGCTCAAGCAATCTTCCTACCTCCGCCTCCCAAAGTGCTGGAATTGCAGGCCTGAGCCACTGCACTGGCCACTGGTGGCTAAGTTGAAGCCAGTGCTCAATTACTATTCCAAAAATCCTAGGGCCCTTAAGAATTACGCTAAATCTGGCCAGGCGCGGTGGCTCACGCCTGTAATCCCAGCACTTTGGGAGGCCGAGGCAGGTGGATCACAAGGTCAGGAGATTGAGACCATCCTGGCTAATATGCTGAAACCCCATCTCTACTAAAAAACAAAAAAATCAGTAGTCCCAGCTACTCGGGAGGCTGAGGCAGGAGAATGGTGTGAACCCGGGAGGCGGAGCTTGCAGTGAGCCAAGATGGAGCCGCTGCACTCCAGCCTGGGCGACAGACTCTGTCTCAAAAATAATAATAATAATAATAATAATTATGCTAAATCTACTCTGCCTGTGCTCCAGAAATGGAACAAAGCTTGGATGACAGCACACCTGTTCACAGCATGGTTTACTGAATCTTTTAAGCCCTCTGTTGAGAACTACTGCTCAGAAAAAACATTCCTTTCAAAATACTACGCCCATTGACAGTGCACCTGGTCACCCAAAAGCTCTGATGGAGATGCAGAAGGAGATTAATGTTTTCATGTTTGCTAATAAAA